AAAATTGCCACACCGCCGAGTAGGAAACTTTGCCCCCGCTACTCCTCACTGGCTGACTGCTACTTCCTCCGTGCACACCGGCACCACTACTGGCCGTGGTGGTAGGCTGCAGTGGAGCTGGTGCTCTACTCCGTGGCCGTTTGGCTCCACTGACACTGCTGCGACCCTGCTGCCTCCTGGGCAACCCACCGACTGTTTTGCTCGCTGGCAAGCTGGCACCCTCTTCTCCTGATGATGCGGAAGCAATAGCCTGATGACGACGAGGCTGCCAAGTGCGATCAGCCTCATCATCATCAATTAGGGTCTCCGCGTCACTACTAGCCCTACTCCCCCTCGGCTGCGTGTGGGTCAGGAGACAGACCTGTCTCTAGACCGGCTACCGAGCCACTCTCCTCGCCAGTACTTCTTCGCCTGGCTGCTGAAGAGGCGGATGTCTCCCCCCGTTCCTGACCGCCCTCTGTTAGCTCTTCCTCACTGTACAGTGGGGCTGAGCCCACAGCATGCGATACTTCGCTTGGTGAGGGAACACCAAAGGACAGGGGCAGGTCGAGGACACGTGATTTCAGTGGGCTTGCTCCCGGGCCATGCCAACTAACGGTTGTGTCTGACGTACCCACCGACCGTTGGCTGTAGGTGTCAGAGGTGACCTGGGAAGAGGAAGACGACCGAGTCAACCAATCGATGACGGCAGGGTTGTCGGTGGAGACACGACCGCTGGATGACACCGGGAGCACTGGCCTCTGGCTGCGACTAGTGCTGCCTCGACCCCTTCCTCTGCTGCCACGTCTGCTCGCTCCTGAAACATTGCCTCCTCTGCCACTCCTCTGCGTGTTGTCTGACATACTCTTTAATTCAATAAGCACCCCAAAAATAAAACCGGATTTAACTCTTTGAACGTACAATAGTGGTTGTGAAGCAGAAAGTCAGTTTATTTAGCACAATCGGTCAATTGCAGCTTGCCGTTGGCTGGAAACTGTACGTTTATGTCACTGGAATGCACTAATCACCCAAAAAATATTACCGCCACCGGCGTGTAAATGGATCTAACTCTTTGAACGTACAATAGTGGTTGTGAAGCAGAAAGTCAGTTTATTGTACACAATCGGTCAATTGCAGCTTGCCGTTGGCTGGAAACTGTACGTTTCTGTCACTGGAATGCACTAATCACCCAAAAAATATTACCGCCAGCCGGCGTGTAAATGGATTTAACTCTTTGAACGTACAATAGTGGTTGTGAAGCAGAAAGTCAGTTTATTTAGCACAATCGGTCAATTGCAGCTTGCCGTTGGCTGGAAACTGTACGTTTATGTCACTGGAATGCACTAATCACCCAAAAAATATTACCGCCACCCGGCGTGTAAATGGATCTAACTCTTTGAACGTACAATAGTGGTTGTGAAGCAGAAAGTCAGTTTATTGTACACAATCGGTCAATTGCAGCTTGCCGTTGGCTGGAAACTGTACGTTTCTGTCACTGGAATGCACTAATCACCCAAAAAAATATTACCGCCAGCCGGCGTGTAAATGGATTTAACTCTTTGAACGTACAATAGTGGTTGTGAAGCAGAAAGTCAGTTTATTTAGCACAATCGGTCAATTGCAGCTTGCCGTTGGCTGGAAACTGTACGTTTATGTCACTGGAATGCACTAATCACCCAAAAAATATTACCGCCACCCGGCGTGTAAATGGATCTAACTCTTTGAACGTACAATAGTGGTTGTGAAGCAGAAAGTCAGTTTATTTAGCACAATCGGTCAATTGCAGCTTGCCGTTGGCTGGAAACTGTACGTTTATGTCACTGGAATGCACTAATCACCCAAAAAATATTACCGCCACCCGGCGTGTAAATGGATCTAACTCTTTGAACGTACAATAGTGTGTGAAGCAGAAAGAAAGTCAGTTTATTTAGCACAAATCGGTCAATTGCAGCTTGCCGTTGGCTGGAAACTGTACGTTTATGTCACTGGAATGCACTAATCACCCAAAAAATATTTACCGCCACCCGGCGTGTAAATGGATTTAACTCTTTGAACGTACAATAGTGGTTGTGAAGCAGAAAGTCAGTTTATTTAGCACAATCGGTCAATTGCAGCTTGCCGTTGGCTGGAAACTGTACGTTTATGTCACTGGAATGCACTAATCACCCAAAAAATATTACGCCACCCGGCGTGTAAATGGATCTAACTCTTTGAACGTACAATAGTGGTTGTGAAGCAGAAAGTCAGTTTATTTAGCACAATCGGTCAATTGCAGCTTGCCGTTGGCTGGAAACTGTACGTTTGTGTCACTGGAATGCACTAATCACCCAAAAAATATTACCGCCACCCGGCGTGTAAATGGATTTAACTCTTTGAACGTACAATAGTGGTTGTGAAGCAGAGAAAGTCAGTTTATTTAGCACAATCGGTCAATTGCAGCTTGCCGTTGGCTGGAAACTGTACGTTTATGTCACTGGAATGCACTAATCACCCAAAAAATATTACCGCCACCCGGCGTGTAAATGGATCTAACTCTTTGAACGTACAATAGTGGTTGTGAAGCAGAAAGTCAGTTTATTTACACAATCGGTCAATTGCAGCTTGCCGTTGGCTGGAAACTGTACGTTTATGTCACTGGAATGCACTAATCACCCAAAAAATATTACCGCCAGCCGGCGTGTAAATGGATTTAACTCTTTGAACGTACAATAGTGGTTGTGAAGCAGAAAGTCAGTTTATTTTGCACAATCGGCAAACTGCAGCACCAACTGTGCACGACAGCCACCAAAAAAAAAAAAAAGGGTGTATGTCACTTTAAATTTTCGATTCTTTGATAGCTGTGGCCCTGAGTAACGATTCTGTGTCCCTGAGTAACGATTCTGTGTCCCTGAGTAACGATTCTGTTGTAAATGGATTAACTCTTTCCCTGAACGTACAATAGAGTAACAATTCAGTGAGTAACAATTCTGTGTCCCCGAGTAACAATTCTGTGTCCCTGAGTAACAATTCTGTGTCCCCGAGTAACGATTCTGTGTCCCTGAGTAACGATTCTGTGTCCCTGAGTAACGATTCTGTGTCCCTAACGATTCTGTGTCCCTGAGTAACGATTCTGTGTCCCTGAGTAACGATTCTGTGTCCCTGAGTAACGATTCTGTGTCCCTGAGTAACGATTCTGTGTCCCTGAGTAACGATTCTGTGTCCCTGAGTAACGATTCTGTGTCCCTGAGTAACCTGTGTCCCTGAGTAACGATTCTGTGGCCCTAAAGTCTCTGTGGCCCTAACTCTGTCCCTTAATACAGACAGGTCTGTCTCTCTTGAATGACCGGAGGCTAATGGAGAATTCTAAGATGGCCGCGATTTATAGCTCCACCATTACACAGTGCTGGCTGGCTGCTGATTGGCTAATGCGATCACATGTCATGATTCATGACTCATGAATGCATTATGGGTCAGCGCGCCTTGTCTGCGCGCCTTCCCAGAGATCCCCGCCCCATCTTCTCTGTCCATTTTCTCCTGTCGCCACACATGTCGCCGCCATTTTTGGGAAAATTCGATTCGTGCATCCGAAGTTTGCTAATCTTCGGATTCGTCGCGAATCTAATTTTTCCAAATCTTCGGAACGAATTCCACTTCGTCATGTTCGATTCGCTCATCTCTACCTATCATCCTAAAACTTAACTAGGAGGGTACTACATAAATATATTATATGCTTGATAAAAGCTCTGTGACATGTTGGAAGTCCTATGAAATTAGATATTACTACGGTAGTGATAACCAGCAAGGGACAATGAGTAAAACTGTTCAGGGCCAGGGCAAAGATGAAGATCAGGTACGCAGGAAACTGAGACGGGCTGGCAGGTTTAGAATAACTGGCTCAAAAAACAGCAGGCCAGAACACATGGGCACACAGGTATAATACACTCTGATGGGGACATCTGATGTAAGGGGGTACTCTGACAGGGACATCTGATATAGAGGGTACTCTGATGGGTATACCTGATGTAAGAGGGTACTTTGCTGGGGGCAACTGATCTAAGAGATACTCTGATGGGGACAACTTATGTAAGGTGGTTCTATGCTCTTTTACTTGAAATGTGGATGTGATTGGCCTAATTTTATATTTTATCTAAAAAAGAGATTCAGACCTCAGCTGGAAGAAAATGTTAGCGAACGGACCTCCTTAAATTTTAATTCATTTACCCTGTTCTAGATCATAATTGTCTGAAAAAATATGAATTTAAGCATTTGTGTAAAAATATGAATGTAAGCATAATCATGGTCATAGCTTGTAAATAGCCACTGGGGTTTTTTCCTAAAACTGAAGAGTGTAAAATCTGGTGCAGCTCTGCATAGAAGCCAATCAATTTCTAACTTCAGCTTGTTCAGTTAGGCTTTGACAAAAAAACTTGGAAACTGATTGGCTTCTATGCAGAGCTGCACCAGATTTTGCACTCTCCAGTTTTTATAAATCAACTCCATAGTTTCCTCTATCCTTATCACAGTTAATCCTTCTAGCATCAGAAATACAATGGGCTATCATCCACATTGACAAGATTGCACTTCCAAGTAGTACATCATCACACAAAAGCTGTGCAAAGTCCGATGACTCACTAATAAGAAGTTCTACATTAGAACAAAACACTCCAAATTTTTTTTTTAGCAAATGTTTCTATTTATAAAGATTAGACATGCATTGAAAAGTTTTGAAATACATTTTGAATTCCAGGAGGAATTTTTTTTTCATAGCTGGCATTCTGTCTTCAAATTATGCTTTATTAGTCCTGTTTACTAGAAAATCCCAAAATCGTGTTCTACAAAACAGCCCCCTATAAAGCATCTGTAGACGGTAAAGGAAACAACTAAGATAAAGGAAAAATATGTAACCCTAACATCAACCTGATCTAACTTTCCCTAATCCTAGTTATAAGCATACCAAACCACTAGTAAAACTAAGGCTACCCAATGATGTTTTTCTAAAATGAAGGAAATGATTCACCTGTATAATCGTTACAACATATAATTTACATAGTATGTATATATATATACAGGGCTTGAAATTTCCACTCGCCTGCTCGCCAATGGCGAGTGGAAATTATGGTGGGGACGAGTGTGTTCCCCAGGGCCGTCTTGCTGAGCAGGCTCGGAGTCTAGGCCGGATCTGTCATTGGCACTGGGAGCCGTCAGACTGCTCAATAGCTGAGCGCTATGAAAGCAAAGCAAGGAGTGTGTGCTGCGCTCTTCTGCCTCCCCCTAGAGTGCAGTACCCGGATCTGTGAGTGAACAATGAAGTACTGCAACTTTTTATTGTGTGTGTGTGTGTTTGTGTGTGTCTGTGTATGCATGTACAATTGTACATGTGTCTGCGTGTATGTACATGTGTGTATCTGTACATGTGTCTGCATGTATGTGTTTATGTACATGTGTCTGTGTGTGTGTACATGTGTCTGTGTGTGTGTATGTACGTACATGTATCTGTGTGTACATGTGTCTGTGTATGTATGTAAATGTGTCTGTGTATGCATGTACATGTGTCTGTGCATGTGTATTTCTGTGTATCTACATGTATCTGTGTGTATGCGTGTCTGTACGTGCCTGTGTGTGTATACATGTGTCTGTATGTGTGTGTGTGTGTGTGTAAATGTGTCTCTGTGCATGTGTGTACATGTTTCTGTGTGTGTATGTGTGTGTGTGTGTGTGTATGTACATGTCTGTGCACAAGTGTCTCTGTTTGTGTGTGTTTGTTGGTGGCGAGTAACTCTAAGGCCTGGCTAGTAGCTCAGGACTTGAAATTTTAAGCCATATATATATATAATTTTTATGTATAGGCTATCGCTACCCCAAACCCACCAATACACCCTGTCAACTGGCTACCTGTCAACTGGCTGGGGCAAATAAGGTATGGCCAACATGATACAGTTATACAAGTCCCATTATGCTTTAACACTTTACAGTGTTACACCTACTGTGGAATGACATAAACAATGTTTTAAATAAAATTAAATTCATATATTCGTGAGATGATGAACTGCCAATTTATGCTTAGAAAAAAATGTTAGTAGTTTTGCCAACTAACTGTCCATAAATCATTAATGCAGAAATGAAAATGTGCAGGTTTCTTGTTAACATGTTCTCATGTTAAAACAGAGGAGTACAGTTATTGTCCGATTCACTCTTTTGCTGTTATTACTACATTCTTTGTGTAAAAAAACACATGGCACTTCACCCTTACACCTGATCCATTACTCCTAAAGAATTGCTACAAAACTATAATAATATGTTTTAATCAAAGTGCCAAAAGGTACATTAGTAGCCTACTAATTCTACTTAACCACAGGTGGCCCTGCAACATTAATGATGGTGATTTATGTATGCTAGGTTTTTACTGCATGTATTAACCTGCTGTTTTATGATTACAGTTTATGTATATTTTGTTTGTGCTGTTCCAGTCATACCAATCACATCATATCAGATACATCCTTTGTAGCTCTACATGAGTGGCAATTATATTTTCATTTAAGTTTATATTACTGCAATTGGTGTGCGGTTTAGACTTCAGATGAAATGGGCAAATATTCATGGTTATTATTGATGGTAAAATGTAAAATTATTAGTTGATTGCAACAAGGTACAATGTTAATCAGTAACTTTCATAGACTGGGTGCACAAAACACTGTAAAATTAATTAACACAGTTCACGCAAATAAAGAGAAAAATCAATTATCCGATAATGAAAATATCTGCTGAAATTTCTCATGAACAGGTAGTTGTGGGAATACAGTTGCCTAAATTACTTTGTTTTTCATGATGTTGTTATTATTCTATCATAATAAGGGTTATTTGCATTTATATAGACACTCTTTTAGTTAAGCAAACAGGCTAAAAAGTGCCCCTGGGATGTTTCGCTTGAAGACCCTAACAGCAGAAATAGAACTAGGAGGTGATATGTATAGCAGATATGATATTAGGCTGAAGCCAAACAAGCTACAAGAAAGCAATGCTGGAAAAAGTAATTAAGTAGAACGTGGGATAAATAATGAAAAGGTAGCTGTACAGCAAAGACCACAAAGAGAAAGCAATTAGATAAATACAGAACTTGTATATGCAGAATTACAGATTATGTAATATCAATGATTTCTGTCCTTAGCAATCCTCTTGATTTTCCATAATCATCCAGATGTTTGTTTAATAACTGAAAAAGATCGGCAAATGTATATATTAACCCTCCAATGTGTCACAGGAGTATTAAAATAAACAGACTGGTGGTCATTAATTTATGATTAGGGGTGAGTGAATCTACGTGGGTTTGATTCATTGAATCCTGCTTGAAGTTTGCAGCACCCAAACTTAGCAGTAAATCACACTGAAGTCTACTAGGGGTGTATTTTGATACCAGGGAGTCATCCATGTTTTCCATCATAGTTTCTGCAGAAGTTTAATTTCTGGATAAGTGTAATGCATTTTGAAACGGCTGCATAATGCTTTCAACTTCTCACCATCTCTTTTCTACCCTTTTACAGATGCACTGATTTAACAATTTTCTGCCTGCTGGTCTGTGTGTAAGCAACCTGCTACATTATTGGTACAAGTATTTAACCAAATCTGCCTACCCATAGGAAACTTTTATCTTGCAAGTATAGTATTGGTACATTGATTTCCCACCTGCCTGTCTGTGTGAAAATCTCATCTTGCATTTTGCTATAATATTGGTGCACTGATTTACCATTTCTGCCTGCCTGCCTTTGTGCAACTCTCATCTTGCAACCTGTGATAATATTAGTACACAAATGTAATAATTTCTGCCTGTGTTAAAGAGATGTTCCTCTTTAACAGTCAGACAGGCAGAAATGGTTAAATCAGTGTACTCATTTTATCACAGGTTGCAAGATGAGAGTTGCACAACTATCATCTATTATAAAGAATAACAAATACTGTAGCTGATGACTTTTAATAAAAAGAAACTTACTAGCCTATAGATCCAGTGCTGTCATCACCTGGGCCAGTTCTTCACTGGTCTATGGTTCCCCAATGCCACCATGCTGACTGTGGGAAGCTGGCTGTGACTCACTGCACAAGTCACACTGCACTCTGTGAATGGTCCTGCAGCCTCCTGGGACCTGTGATGTGTTCCAGGAGATTGGGGGCAGGGAAGGGGGAGGGTAGAATTTCCTCCCAGATTGCCTAGGCAATCCCAGTGGAAGTGAGAATCAGTACCTGTGAAAAGTAGGTACCTGTTTCCACTCCAAAAAAAAAAAGGAGAGAGAAGAAGTGGGTGAAGAGGATAACTGAACTTAATTTTGAGGCAAATTCTGCTTTGAAAATCTCACATTGAATCCTGCTATTTTTACATACAACTTTCAGGTTTGTTATCTGTATTGTTGAGATAGATTTAACTTCCTGTTTTCTTGTCCGATCAGAGAGCTCTGGCTTGTCTTAGTGCCTCAGTATTAGTTTGAACGTTTCCACTTTCATTATTATGTGTCTTAACAGTTCTATATTAACTGATTATTTGACAAACCACTTCCTCTCCCTATAAAAAGACACGTAGCTCTGGTTAAAAAAAAAAATCTTTTTGAGTATGTATTCCTAACTTAAACAGTACCTTCTATTGCTCTTAGCCTCCTCCATAATATACCATTTGTTTTGTTCCTTTGAAGCTGAAGCCACCTCATCCTTAGTGTCAAATCACTCTTGACATACAGGCACACCCCTCTCCCTCTGAAACAGAGTATACCCTTGGGTAGTTGCAAGCCAGCCACACCAGGTTTCTGATATTCCAAATCAAACTCCTCATCAAGTATTACAAGTTCTAGTTTTTCAATTTTAATAATTAGAGTTACAGAATTTCGGTACATATGGTACCTTTTAATTTTGTATGAACATACAACATTTTATCTTTTCTAGCTCTTGGGTCAGATTACAGTCAGATTCAGCAAGCCTGCTAGCACTGGTCTTGGATACTTTAGTTTCTCTGCCATCTGGTTTGAGGGCCCCTTTCCCCCCAACTTTGCCCATCTATATTTAGTGCATATTTTGACCCTTGTTCACTGCACAGTATACCTATAACTAACCCACCCCCCCAACACACCCTAGTTCTTCCAGTCTTCTCACAACCTTTTTTCCCCAACTCATCTGCACTCTATCCACCTGTTCCCTGCACCCTGGTTGGAACCTATACACTGCCTTTCTGGTGCGGTCTGTGGTACAGGAAGTATTTCTGAAAATACTATATTGGGGGTATTAGGTACCTAAGTCCCTGAAATATTGTTTAAGGTTACTCCATCATCCTCTAGCTTTTTAATTTGTACCGATATGTACCATGACATTTGGGTCCTCCCCAGTCCCACCAAACAATTTGTCCATCCGATCCAAGTGTATTATTTGAGAGATAATAGCTGGAAATATTGTACAGTGGCTGGAGAGTTTGTACACAGCATGGTTAGTCAGCAGTGTAAAAGGGAGAGAGAAGGCAGGGTTTATCCTGAAATAGAAATTGTTTGAGATTATTATTTAGGAAACAATAGTTTTCTAACTTTTCTAAAAATATCTCCATTTTACACTGGTGGTTATAAGTGTAAAAAAAAAACCCTTCATGCCATGATATATTTTGAATATTGTTTTGTATAGCTTTCATTTATGAATCCATTTATAGGCTTTAGATGAATAGTGATGAACTTTGCTTCCTGTCTGCAATCTTATTTTTGTTAAGTATAATGTGTACTTGCAAAACTTTAACTTGATGGGTAGGATTGTTATTGTCTTTTGTCTTTTGTTGTATTCATATCTGCTTACAAAGCCGTGACTTATTCTTCATATTGTTTAAGTATAAGCAAGTGCACAGTTGCAGTGATAAAATTAGAAAAACAAAGCTTAAAATTACTATGTAACTGAATTTCCAAACCCCAGACTACTGTTTGTTCTTTCATTTTTTTCATAGTGCTATCTAATTGTATCTGTGTATGCATGTTTATGTTAATGAATTGCAATTCAATACCTGTTAGTAAAAAAAAAATCAAACCTTCTACAAGTCGTATTCTTTAATAAGACATCAGTAACACAGTGATTATATAAATCCAGAATCTACTCATCAACCCTCTGAGACCTGGATTAATATAATCACTGTGTACTAGCTTTCGAGGAGATTGATTGTGTGCTGGATAAATTGGGCTTAACCCCTTACATGCCAATGCAGCATAAAAGGAAAAACAAACATGTTAAGAAATGTGTTTATACCATTTTTAAGATGAAATGTCTCCAATACCTGACATATCTACTGTACGATTGGGAAAACTAGCAACCGCACTATTAGATGTAAAACGTTTAATAGTGTATTCTAAAACCTCTACAAGGAATGGAAGAATCCTTCTATTCCTTTGTGAATGTACTCTCAGCTTAATAATTTCATAAATTATAGTAAGTGTTGAAAACTGCCAGTCCTGATGCTGCAACTTTATATGCATTTTGCAGATATGCTGTGGAACTTACTTAAAAGTGCCTAGTAGTATAGTTATTTCTGGAAACTTTGAAATACCCTTCAATTGTTGTGTTTTTCATTGTTACCAGACATGTAGAACGTAATTCAAAACATTTTACTAGTATT